TCACATGTGAAGATAACATGCTATTCTCACATGTAAAGATATCAAGATTTTGTGCGAAAGTTCACCTGGTATTTTATTGGTGTTTATATAATAAAAATGTTTTCATAAATGGATGACTCAATGTACCGTTTGAAAGAGAAAATACACTAACTTTTTAAATGGTGTTGGTTTGCAATTTAACATATGAGCAGACTAACACTAAAAATGTAGAGAAAACACTCTTCTCAAACTCCTTTTCCTTAATCATGTGTGGATTTAGAGGGGGGCAGGAGGAGGAGGAGGGTCCCACCACCCCATCTTGCCTGAAAATGTGGGAAACCAATGAGAAATGTTAAACTTTCTAGCTAATGTGGGAGACTATAACCTGTGTTTGACTTGATGATAGACATCCATATAATGGTCCATTGACAGCTGTCAGAACAGGGTATCTGCTGACCAGATTCACATGGCCATATGCTGGGCTCAGATACCAACTCATCAAGGCCAGGTGTTTTTTTTTTAGTTTTCCACTAACCAGTTATTAGCTTTTAATTGATCACAGGCTCAAGTTTGGCCCTCAAGTTTATGTTTTTCAGTCATATGGTTCTCTCCTAAAGTTAATAATAGATTTGTGGATTTCTTTCCAATGGTTTAAAGTTCATTGTTTGAAGTGAAGTAAAAATGCATACACTGGAACTTTGGCTAAATCTATTTATTGCAGTTCAGGGGCGAATGGGTTGAAGAATTTTCAATAAAAATCTGTCACCTAGAGCCTAACATTTTGGACAAAGATGCTCTCAAAGTTCTTTAGCCAATAAACAAATACAATAAAACCTCCATTTAACGGCCACCCTTGGGGTATTAGCAAGTGGCAGCTTAATGGCGTTATGAGTTTCAAGTAAGCTAGGGCATATTATAGCAAAATTCTCTTACATTCTGCTTCCCACAATAAAGTAGGATTGTTTAGGTATTTCTTAATCATTTCTATGGCTGTCAAAAGCCTTCTAGAGACACATTAGATATATGATTCTTGCAAGGTCGATGACAAATAAAGCCATAGTTAAATGACCTATTATGCAAATTAGCACGTTGCTAAGGCTAAAACAATGTTTACGGCACCATATTGAGAGCACATCACGCAACAAGTTCAAACGAAGATATTCGCATTTTCTCGCCACTTTCCGTGCTACAATTGGGTCAGTGTCACAACAAACATTAAGAACAGCGTTTTGCTCATAAGAATTCAACATGGCGACGAAGAAAACAGCATGGCGCGATGAAAATTAAGAGCGAATTAAGGGCAATTTTGTGGCTGTGTAGGACCACACTTAAAACAAATTGATGTAAAAATATGAGGATTTATAATACTGCGCTAAAACTTGCTAGGTTTATTCATATAATGTTAAGGAAAAATGTATTAAATTCCCAGCAGTTCCTGGAATATTTTGGAATTTAGGCAGCAGCCTGAAGTTATAGGGCATTACAAAAAAATTCCACCTCTATATCTCAGGAAAAATTTACTGGCTACTGCCGGAAATTTAAAGGTAAATGAACAATCTAATTATAAGTCAGTTCTATTTTTCTTTTTATTCTTAGATATTGAGAGAAAGCCAGAAGTATGGAATTATTGAATTTTTAAGCCTGCGATATAATATCAATTTTCTGAAAGCTCATCTCTCGCTTGATAGGTCTGTGTGATTTTTATTTTGCAAAATTCTTTATAATTTGACAAATAATTTTTTCAAAATAAATGGAATAGTTTATAGCAGATCTAAAACCTTAAGTAAATTTGTTCTTACTTTACTTAAATTGTGGTAAACCAGTGAAAGTAAACATTAGATAAGGTTACCTGTATAAAAGATCACACAAGATAGAATTGGGCAGTCCACTTCGTTCTCTCGTCCACAGGTAACCCATGCTGTGTGATATTTTAGTAAAATTACAGTGTTTGTATGGGGTAAAAATACGATCCTAAAATATGTACGAAATGCTAAATAAAGGTCAATGAAACTTACTCTTCAGTTAGTTGTTGTTGTCCTTATTGCTCAAACGAGTTTTCGTGATTATTTGCTCAAATTCACCCTCTAATACAATTTAACACACAAGGCATGAGGCAGGAGATGGCATCTCGGTCACCATGTTCCCTCGCTAACACAACTTTTCCACGAGATTCGAACTACAACGGTAAATGAACATGCTAGAATCGTAGAAATAGGATAGGACCAGATATAGAAACCAATGAAGCTTTCCCAGCTAGAGAAACGAATCCAGCAGGCCGAAAGTCGTCGTGCCGAATCAACACGCGGCCAAGTAAATGAGGACTGGGCACTGTACAAATCAAATCCATCCGGGGTCTGCGGGGTGTCCTGGGGTGACCTTTCTTGCCTCCCCTGCTGGGAATACATTTGCTCGAAGGCTATTGTTCACTTGAGCCAATTGCGAGTCGCCTAAGCAAAACCAGTGCACGCGCCAAAATGAGAAAGAAAAGAAACATGTAAAAGTTAATGGTTGCAGTTTGTATTTTTTTTTAAGCTTCGTGCTTAACTGACCACGACACCAGCGACAACAATAACAGAAAACAATAGTATAGATCAGATCATTCTCTCTTGTCAAAGTATAGATTAGCAAAACACCAGCTTGGCACGTGCATCACGCTTTATTCGTTTGTTTCTTTAAAAAATTATTGTTACCGCTGCCGTCATGGTCCATAAAAGCTTCCAATTTCTTTTAAAAAGAGAAACTTTGGAGTATTCCGAGAGTTAAAAAAATTACACAATTTGGCGATCAGCTGGTATATGTTTCTTTTTTCTTAATTTGGCACATGCACGGGTTTTGTTTTGACGACTCGCATTTTTAAAAATGATCTTTTAAAATTTATTTGAGTGTCAATGTATTTGGCACGAAAGTACTATTTGTACGTCTCCAGACTTGAGACGCGACAGCCAGATTACATGGTCCCCCAAGGACAAGCTATGTATCGGTCCCAAGAAAGGTCACCCGAGAACACCCGGGATGGATTTGCCAGGTCTCATCTTTTCGGATTATATCCTTCGAGTTTGTCAAAGTCTGCTGGTTTCATTTCGCTAGCTGGGAAAGCTTCATTGGTTTCTATATCTGCTGCTATCCTATTTCTACGATCCTAGCATGTTTATTACCCGTTGGAGCTCGAATTTCGTGGAAAGAGTTGAGTTGCAAAGGGAGCATGGCGACCGAGATGCCATCTCCTGCCTCCTGCCTTGTGTATTATATTGTGCTTGCTTGCTTATTTCGAGCGAACTCGAACTCCATTAACTAGCTTCATCCATTCCTTCCGGTTTTCCATGATGTTCTTCAGTTCAGCTATGCTCAAACTAATGCTGGTCTTCCTCTCTTTCTTGCGCCGTGCTTTGGTTCCCAGAGTAGTAAATCACTTATCACCTCATCCTTTTTTCTCCAACAGTGTCCTATAAACCCACAATTGTATGGAGGGTGAATTTGCGCAAGTTATCACGAAAATTCGATTGAGCATTAAGGACAACAACAAATAACTTTCATTGACCTTTATTTAGTATTTCCTACAAATTTAAGGATCGTATTTTTACCCCATACAAACTCTGTAATTTTGCTGGATTACTGTGGTACTATCACAGAGCCTGGGTTACCTGTGCTCTCGTCCTGGGGTTCTATGTCGGAAAGAGAGAGAACCCTGCGAATGAGGTAAGCCTGCGAACGAAGATGCCTTTGTAGGCTAGAACAAGGTTGGCCGGATTCCAGTTTCCAGTGTATAGCTGTCAAGGCTTTCTTGCCTTTGTAGGTGATTTCCAATCGCCGACTATCTCTTTGGCCCGATTTCCAGCCGGGGGAAGAGCCGAAGGAGTCTGAGGCGAAAGAACGCGGGCGCACAAAAAGGCTGGAATCTACAACAACAACAACAAATTATTTATTACCAAAAAGATAAAGTTTTACAATTTGGATGCCCCGCAATTATAAAGCTAATCTAGGCGAGACGAGACAAGGCAAACGCGATATTAAACATTTATTACAAAAAAAAAAGAGAAATACAATTTATTACAAGCAGAAAGAATAACTGGAAGTTTTCGCTACAGTTACATGTAAATTTCAAGTGCAGTAATTTGTTATTTGAGCTAGACTGAAATTACAACCACAGGTATACATAACAAATTATCACTTTAACTTCATAAAATATCCTAACAAATCAGTAACATTAATATATTCATACAACTATCTTCATGTTGTAGAACAATAAGGAGTATTGATTTTATTATTATTATTATCATTATTATTGTTATTATTTTACGAAAATTAGATTTATTTATTTAGCTTTATTAAGGTCGTGTTCTATAGGGATCAACCGATTCCGTTGGTTGGGTTGATCGAGTTTTTACGTGTTCTATAGTGGGAAAAAAACCCTTTTTGGTTGGTTTGGATGATCAAGACTTTCAAGCAGCTCAGAACTTGGTAGAATCGTTTTTCTTGTTTGACCTTTGTCTTAGCTTTTGCGCCGCTTCGTCGGCTTTTACCAGTGTTCAGTCTTTTAACAGGCATCGATTTTTAGTACAGTGCCGTGCATCATTTTCTTCGCGAATTTTGGGCATAAAAATTTGAAGTGCTCACGCGGGCCTCACGAAGAAACATTGTAAACAAACATTGATGGCGGTCTTTTCCCACCGTTTTTGTCTTTGTATTTACACAGATATTTTACACATTTTACAGTAGACAACAAAGAATGTTATAACTCGGTTGGGTATTTTAATACACAATACACTGTTCTATTCATACAAAGAGAAAAGGCTGGTTCCGGAACTCTTTAAATCCTCGTCTTGTTACGCCCCTGTAATTACTTGTTCTGTTAATATTTTAGGCCTTAGCTCAATACAACAGCAATGTTTTTCATTAGCCGTTGGGTCATTTGCTCCTTAAAAATCGCACAGAAGAGCTATCAACGACCCATAAACACACCAAAACGATTATTACTATGGTATTAGCATTAGTAATTCATATAGATACTTTGCTCATTAGTCTTCCCAGGTGCAAGTAAATGTCAAGTTGGAGATTGCCGTAAGACGCTGACCACATATCATAAATACTGGGGTTGTGAAGACGGGCACAAGACCTGCCATCCCTGTTATTGGGATCTTATTGAAGAAAGAGGAGAAGATGACGACAGAAAGATAGACTGCCCATCCTGTGGTAAACACCTTAAGCAAATCAAACCGATTTTACCTGAAGAACACGCTTTCATTTATGTCGATGACTCCAACATGTGGATCGAAGGGAAAAAGCTTGCTGCTAAACAGGCGAATTTAAAATGTGTGGAGGATCCAAGGCTGCGCTTGGACATAGGTAAGGTAACTGATGTAGTCGCGAGTGGCAGAGATGTTGCTTGGGGAATTCTCTACGGATCAGAACCTCCACCAATCGACTCTGTCTGGAACAAAATACGAGAACGTGGGTGGCAAGTAGTAACATCTAAAAGAAGTGCTTTTACGAACAAGGAGAAGCAGGTGGATCACCAGATGGTAACGCACATCACCGCGCTGGTATCGGATAGAAGCGTTGCAAAGGGAAAAATTGTCCTTGTTAGTGGAGATGCAGATGTCGTCCCAGCAGTAAAAGAGGGAATAATCAACAACTGGTCTTTTGAGATATGGATGTGGGCAAGTGGCATCTCGAAGGCGTTAAGGACCCTTAAAGACGAAAACCCAGAATTACTGTCAATTTATGAACTAGACTCCCACTTAGAAGATATCTCTTTTACCAATTTCAAATTTAGTGTAAAGCAAGTTTCTTCAAAATTGAGCAATCGTTCCGCAGTAATAAAGAATTTCAAAGTAACTGAGGGATGGGAAAAGAAACTAACTGAAAAGCTAGGATGGCCGTTTCAGTTTTGTTGGATAGGACCAGAGACTCTAACAGATGTGAAGGAGTATAAAGACATTCTCCTTATTTTCCAGAGTCATGTGAAGCCAAAAGATGGCAAAGCATTTTCAGATCATTTTGAAGAAATATTTCAAAATCTGCAAAAAAAATACCCCGGAAAGGTGGTAAATTATCCAGTCTATCGCAGAGAGTATGCTAAAGACGAAGAGATATGTCTGACAAATAGGTATGGGGTGTTATCAAATGTAGATGAGGAGCTCAGCGCCTCTGACCAGTCAGACTTGGAAGAGGGAGGTGGAGAACGGAGCCGCCCAGGCAGCGGTAAAAATTCCACCACAAATGATCGTGACCCTTCCGAGGCCGAGGAATTTCAACTCGTTCAGGGTAAACAGCGTAGGCGAGCTCAACAGTATTCTGAACTTTGTAAATATCGCTCCAAATGTTCAAAAGGTTTGAAATGTACGCATGGCCACACTGAAGCCGAAAAGGAGTTCTTTAGAAACCCTAAGAAACACTTGGAATGCAATTTCAAGAGGAATTGCAAGTATGGGTCTCAGTGTAAATTTGCCCACTCTAGTAAAGACAGTTTTTGTCGCGAATGCCATCAGTGGGGACACTTAGAAAGCGACTGTTCGGAAAATTAATCTTGAACTACTGACGACGGTCTCCAGGTTTTTCAGTCATTGTTTGTTAAGCTGAACTGAGGGTAAAAAAATCCTTGATCCGATCTTGGCAGTCGCGGAACCATTTCATTGCCAAAGACGGTGAAAGAAAATCATCTACGAATGAGTATTTACAAAAAGAAAGAAAAAACTTTACAAAGACAACCATTTATAAGAACATGAATTTATTTGATCAACTAAGGGACCGGTCATGATTTATGTAGAGGGGAGGGGGGAGGGAAAAAAGAAGGGGACGGGGTCAAGGCTATTTCAGATTGGCTAAAGGGGAGGGCTAAAATTTGTTATAAAGAATTTTAGGGGCGGGGGGGTCTGCAGTTTGATCGCAAGGTATATTTTCCAAATTTCCAAATATTCTTTCTTCTTTTTGTTCCAGTCGTATATTTGACCATTGCCATTGAACAGTTCACCGTAACTTTCTTCAGCTGAAACTTTTTCCTTTAAAACCTCTTCTTCCAAACTTGACAATTCTTTGACTCCTCGCTCACAGTTCAGTATATCTGAAGGACTGGAACGAGAGGTTAGATATTTGCCAAAGCGGGCATTATTGTCATCAGACAACATGTATTTCAGCTTCCTGTCCACTTTCTCTATATTGTTCTTTATTTCCCACCTTTTGCCACGCTCCATGATTAAATAAGTCTCAAATCCTGATTCACTCATACGACATCTTGCCTCAAACAACCCACGTAAAAACTGGGCACTGGTCTACGCGATACACTGATTTTGTAATAGAGTAGGTTAGTTTTACTGTTAGGCAAAAAAACTAATCATCTTATGATTAGTATGTTACATGCATTTAATAATTACTTAATTTGTAGAGCATATAAGAGGAGATATGTGGTGGTGGAGGGGGTGGTGGGTCATCACGTAAGTATTGAATAAAGAAGAGGGGTCACTTGTTATTTACATGGTCTGCAGGGGGGCATTACAGAAATTTTTATCTTTCCAACATATTTTTCCTTCCCTTTTTAGCCCTTATAATCTCATCAGCTTTTTAATCTGTTTACGGTGGCCAAGTTATATTTATTTTATCAACTCACTGACAGTTAATTTTGGCCAAATCTTTGTGATTGACTGCCAACCGACCAAGCCCCAAAGTTCCTTTAGATAGATGTTTTATTTAGTCACGGTGGTTTTATCAGCTAAAGCTGGTTTACATAACAGCCGTGTTAAAAAATGTATATATCTATCAGAGTTGCTAGTTAATATTAGTTGTGAAAAAGAAAAAGAAAATATCTCAGCGTAAAACTAGGTATTAACCTTTGATAAAATATTCTAAACTAGGGTTGTAGTAAGGGATCAAAGAAGCTCGAAAGCAAGCGGTTTTTTCATAATTGGTTTTGGGACAAGGCAACTGAAATCTAGAAGAGAAGCCCTTAGTATCATAGGTGGACCTCATTTTCATTTTTATTTAGGTGCCATATTGTTCTACACCTTCAAAATTTCTATAGCAGGAAGCTATGCAGATGATGTACACCCAGGGATTGGGTGACCAATTCGCGAAAGCCTTACGGCGAGGGCAGAAAAAGAGCGAGAAGAGGTCCAGAGCCTTGCCGTTACAGGGTTCATGTTTTGACTTATACTGGATTGTTTTGCTTTTGGTTTCTTCCTTTATTATTCAACCGATAGTTTTAGCTTTTCACTAAGTTCCTGTCATTTGCTGTATTACGGTTTTATCTTTACTTTTTAATTGTCACTTTTGCTAACGCTTTAATGACTTTTATTTGTTGAATTCCCAAGCCATGTTTCCAGCAAAAAAAGAAATAATGAAGGCAGTCAATAATATATTTTAATGATTTACGCAATAATTTGTTATCAAATCATACTGATGACACTTGATTGACCATTGTGATCATTACATTGTATTATCATTAGCATAAATTGTAACGTTATCTTAAAGCTTTTGCAATACTGTAACTACGCATAGTGATGCAAATATAGCTTATGTTGTTGTTAAAATGCAAGGTGTGCACGACCATTTTTAACTTTAACCATTCCCATGCTAATTAGCCGAAACACCAGTCCAAAAAAGAGGAATGAATTGGTGAAAAATGCGTTTTTTTCCGCTACTCGCTGGCCGTCTTTAAAGGGCTAAGCAGTAGTTCGGCCATTTCGTCTACGCATGACGTGTGAAACGTTCCTTAGTTCTACACTGCCAAAACAGCTGAGCGACCGAGCCGCCTGTCCCCCATCGATTATCAGTACAATTGACGACAATTTGAGATTAGCAAATATTTTCAAAGTTTGGTCAACGTTATAGCACCAGCTGGCTATGAAGAATTAGCCGGGAAAGTTTAATAAGCCGATCAGAAATGGAGAATATTTTGAATTAAAAATAAATAGTTGTAACCCATGCCAGTCAACCTGTCCTGAACAGGGTCGTAACTATCTAATCATTGTTTTCAGAAAGAGGTTGTGGCTGTATAACTTGAGTAGATATTTTGTCTTCTTTGTTCTGATCCCCAGGTTACGATCTTTCCGCGGGAGATTTCAAAAAGGGGTGGGCGTCGACACGAAAGACTGTCTCTGCGCAAACATAATTATAGAAAAACAAAATTCCTTTTAACTGTTTGAAACCAGCTAACCTGAGATCAGGCTCTATTTTCATTTCGCTTTGTAAATAACATTCCGGCGGTAGCCGTTAGAGGGAATGTATAAGAACCGCTTAAATTGGGCTTAATCTCAGGTTAGCAACCAGCATTCAATTCTACATTTTTCATATTTAAGGCAGCCTCTTCAGATGAGAGAGGCAACCAGGACAGATAGAAGCAGACTGTGGGGTTTTCCTACTATTCGCGTTCGTCACAACGCATCCTAATCTGGTGTTCCTGTGGCACTAAGGAAGAAATTTTCGAGCTATCACGGGCGACTGCAAATTAGCAGCCTCTATTAATTTTATCAGGGGCACCTCGGCCGGGAAACTGGACTCCTTTCTCTATTTTTTCCGTAGGTGACGAACGCGGATGGGTAATCAATGATCACCTCTAGTTCAACATTTTAGGACAGGGATGCAAAAAACTACAAACTATTATTCAACTGCAGAGGATATTGCCTTCAGTCCTTTGAACTACTGGGACCAGCCTAAGGCATTTACGCATACTCTACTGCAATGAGCGCTATCCATAATTAATATATACACACTTAGTGACGTTGATATTTTAAGCAATCTGATTGGTTCACTATCTTGGACCCTTCAGCCACAATTCATTTCGATATCAAAGAATAAAATGTTAATTAATATTAGAATTCGATCCTCACAGCAAAGCGTTAACACAGTTACACTTGAAGACGTTACTAAAACTAAAACTACCGTCAATCCGTTATCAACCCCGACTTGATGTAGTAGGACACTTTATGCTGTCATATATGAAGTAGATAAAACTAAAAACCGTTCTGAACCGCTCCGGGGAATGACACGTCCGTAGCGTCTGTAACAGAATAGATAAGTCTGTGTCGTGGTGATTTAAGTGTTGTGTTCTCACTTCTACTCGTATTAAATCCTTGTACATTGAGAAGGGGGGCGGGGGGTATTTAATTTAGAAAAGACTATGGTATCAGTTCTCCACCCAGAAACTTACTAGAGAGAGGGGGCGGAGCGGCTTAACAGGCGATCTATGGTAATTAAAGCTTCAATAAAGGTGTATTTTCTTTCCAATTTTAAAGCAACCGACGGATTGTCACAATTAAAACCTTTCAAGTCAGATTTTAAAAAGTTATCATAATTTACACCACTAGATATTTTATTCTTTTGCATTTTACTAATTTTAAAATAGACTGTTGTCTATTACCACGTGATTCTCTACCTTCCTTCAAGGGCTCCACTAAACATCACTTATGAGAAGTGGGCTTCCTTAGCCTGTGTACAGTCACCCCTCCCTTTCGACAAAAAAAAAACCTGTCCTTTTTTTCTCTCAAGAGAGGAAGGAGCAAGTTTACACAAGCCTTAGTTTCTTGTTCCCTTTTCCATTAGGTATCAGTACAATTATGTCAGTATTGCTCATTATGACTCCCTCAGTTTCATTGCCCAAGTGTGTGTGTCTGTGTGTGCATGTAAGAGGGGATGGGGGGGAATAGGGGTGAAAAATGTGAATTATGGGAAATTTATGGAAAATTATGGGGTTATGGTGACCTGCTAACCACTCCCTAAATATTACTAACTACCAGCTGCAGCTAGAGTGTTTTCATTATCAACTACATGTTCAAATCTGCCACTTTTTTCGTTTTTTAAACCATTCATCGCTTTTGTCCTCAGCCATGGCCTAGGAAGAGAAGAAAAAATGGGTTCAGAAAGCACAAATCAAGCAAGCCAGGGTTGTCACTAAGATTTCAAGTTGCCAGGTGAATACAACAAGGTGGTGGGGAATCAAAGAGCTAGGGATTTCTTTTGGTTCTATTTTCTTTTATTTGCCTATGAAAGTAGCTAGGGGCCACGTTCATGGTAGCTGGGATAATCTCTGGCCCCCGCCTCTTAATGACAGCCCTGCTAAGCACCTTTTTCTTTCTGAGAATAATGAAACGATGGAACAATCTTTCTCCATTAATCTTCACTGAACATTACTCCACCCAACAAATTATTCTCCCAGCCATTAACATTACTCCAGCCAATAAATTATTCTCAAAGTTGAGAGGTATGAAATTTCAGGTGGGAGACATACATTTGTCTGTCTTACTCACTTTATCCAGTAGCTGATCTCCATTAATATCAGGTTGTGACAGTTCTCTAAATGCTTCATCGCCAACAAAACAAATCTCATGGCCATCCTAAAAGGTAAAAGGACTCAAATTACTTAAAGAAACAAGCTTGAGAAAAAATAAATATATTAAAACAGCAAATATTAGTTATCCACTGGATAAATCTCTATCCAGTGGATAACATTACTTTCCTTAATACTTACAGTGCATCTGCTAGAGAGGGATTTATTCAGTGGATAGTACTATCCAACTTTTGAATAACTGGGGCCAGGACATCACAAAATGTTGGTTGATGTTCAGCCACTTTTGAATAGGAAGGGGCATTTTCAGTACAAGTTTGGTAAGCAGGGGGAGGCGGAAGGAGAGTTTAATAATTGTTTTTAGTTGACATCACAGTTTGTCATCCAACAAATTTTTTTGGGCAATCACCAACTAATTCTCCATTAATTGTACTAGCCTCTGGCACTTTTCAGTTTTGCCCCAAAAATCCAATGATGAATTCAAAACTTATCCTTAGCTACAATATCTGTGGCAAATTGGGGCTACAGTAACTAACTGGGTCATTTTCATTCCAGCAAACAATATGTGGTGCCCAGGACAAAACTTTTAGCGATAAATGATAAATTCTCATTTCATACGGCCTTGTGTTTTTTGTGGGACAATGAAAACATCAAGTACAAAAGATCAATGGTTACCAGTACACCCTCCACAAAAGCTTGCAGGGTTGTCACTAAGATTTCAAGCTGTCGGGTAAATACAACAAGTAGGCGAGCAATCAAACAGCTAGGGGTTTCTTTTGGATCTACTTTTCTTCTGTTTTCCAATGAAAGTAGCCAGGGTTCACGTTCATAATAGCCGCGGGAAATGTTTATTGTTTATTGTTTTGTTCGCCATAAATTGTACAAATCAAATAAAAAATCTAATTATGTAAACTCTCATGGCGAGGAAGCCCATGAGAAGCCACCGGGCTTATAAGGAATGGGCTCCCTCAGTTAGATAATTAGAACAAAATATTATCAAATCCCCTACCCCAGGCTCTAAATGACAGCCCTAAGCTTGTGTCTACAAAATAAAATGATTAAATTACCGGATCAGCCAATATGACAACTTCTACTGTAGCCTTTCCTGGGGTGTCTAAACTAACAAGTGGAGTCAATATTGGGTGACCGGCTTCTTTGACAGCTCTTTCAATGGCTGGTAGCTGATGTCGAGGACATGAGAAAGCGATTCTCCCGAACGCTGTAGCATGATCCACTGGTTGTTCAAGTTGAATAAGTTCAAGCTTGCACTTGTCAGCATCATAACCCAGTACTGCTTTAGTGTCTGTCAGATCAAACACTGTCATTCCTAATAACTTGTGCCAGTAAGCCAAGGAATTCGCTAGGCTGGACACTCCAATGGCTACCTTTGTTACTGCATCTGGGTACATTTAAGATATTAGAGAAAAAAGCATTTGTTTAGTCTGCATTATGAGCAGTGGCCAGCTCTAAAGAGTGGAAGGCTACAAGTTCTGTCAACAGGCCAAAATATATATATATTCACATGGTGTTTAAGGCATCATCCACACGTAGGTGGATACTTTTGAAATTGAGTTTTTGTTCTCTGTTTTTTAAAAAAACGCATCCACATGTATCTAACATTTGAATTGTTTGCACACGTATCTTGAAAACACTAAAACGATGGAAATAAGATATAGAGAGCATGCATAATGCTAGTACTATAATGATGTATGACGTCATCCTGTTCGAAAACCTCTGATTTCATCTGTGCACATGAAATCAACTTAGCAACTAAACTTCACAACACTGTTGCCTTTGCTGTGCCTAGCTTTTCTTTTTTATTTATTTATTTCCATTAGTGATCAATTGAATAACATTTCCAGTCTCAACCCTGAGGTCTGTTATTACTGACAAAGACTGTGGAGATTCAGCCAAAAGCTTCAGTGCTATAAGGTTTGTGGGCTTTGAGACTAGATTTACCATACAAAAAAATTCATCATTACATGTATATAAATCTTTCCATAGTTTTATTTTTTAGCTTTTGAGAGGGACCAGTCAGTGAAAATTGGTCAACAAAGAGGGAAAAGACACCTTAAAATCAGTACACTTGCCAAACTTATAAGTGATTTGTTGAAAACAAACAGAGATATAAAACCACAAACCCACTGAATTTTACAGACATTTTAACATAAAAATGTCTGTAAAATTTCACAATCTTGCCTCCCCAACCAGGGTTGTCAAAAGTAGCCAGCTACCAGCAAAAATCACCACCTACTTGGTTAGTATCAGCCAGCTACTCTGCTTTGCATTTCTTTATGAATGGCATTTTTTTAAATAAAATATGCCTGGACTGGCTGCTTACTTTGACAACTAAGCCATCTATTTCAAAACTTTCTGACAACCCTGCCCACCATACAAAAGTCTCAGCAACTTTGCGGAGCGACAACTTCACTCTCTTTGGATGTATCACATTTAAACTCGGTAACTAAAGTAACTTCATTTTAGGGTCCTTTTTCCATCAGTTTCTTCATTAAAAATTGAAAAACTGTGAAAGGGTTTATTGAAAAACACATTTCAATAATTCTTATTTTCCTTGTAGGCAATCTTTCATGAGAATACAATCAACATCTCTCACCTGCCCCATCTTTACCATCCTCATTAACTAGTAAGAATTTGTAGCCATCTGGTGCTTGAACAGTCATGCAATTGTCTGATTGTTCTTGGATGGGGTAGTTGTGTTTTGTTGCATTGGCAAAAGCAGTCTTGGAGTGAACTGAAAGACCCTGCAGACAAGTTTAAAGTTTATGTTTACCGATACTCTGCCATCCATACAATAAATTACAACTTAAGAAGGTAAAAGGTGGCAGGGTGGAAGCTGGGGGAAATTTTTTTTTTTAAAGGCAACTATCCTTTCACAGATGTAAAACTTGTACATGCACATTAAAAAACCTTAGAATAAAACAATACAACTATAAAGATGCTATTCACAAGATAAAATAATAACTAATAATAGTAATAATAATAATAAATGAACGAATTTAAAAAACACATAGAGGATAAAAAGAAAAGAGACATTAAAACTGGTCAATGTAGGAATTCACTCTTTTTTTTCGCTTTTTCTACTGGTCAGCACATTTTAAACATGATCTNAATAAATTACAACTTAAGAAGGTAAAAGGTGGCAGGGTGGAAGCTGGGGGAAATTTTTTTTTTTAAAGGCAACTATCCTTTCACAGATGTAAAACTTGTACATGCACATTAAAAAACCTTAGAATAAAACAATACAACTATAAAGATGCTATTCACAAGATAAAATAATAACTAATAATAGTAATAATAATAATAAATGAACGAATTTAAAAAACACATAGAGGATAAAAAGAAAAGAGACATTAAAACTGGTCAATGTAGGAATTCACTCTTTTTTTTCGCTTTTTCTACTGGTCAGCACATTTTAAACATGATCTAAGACCATGCAAAACAAACAACTAATATCATTCTATCTATTATTTACCAAAAATACAATTTTTCTTTCTCTCTCTCATGAATTTGTTTGAATGTTTTTTTTGTTTTTTTTTTTTTTTTGTTGTAAAAAAAAAAACAAAATAAAATACAATCAACAGTGCTTTGGAGGGGGGGGGGGGGGGGGGGGTGCACACTCCCTGCACCCTCCTGCAAGATCAGTCCCTGGTTTCCTTAATGTTTATCCACTCGTATGTTATATGGTCCCTTCTTGACACAAGAGTTTACCATGGCTACAGTTCGACTCACTAACACTTTACTAAATTTTAGTTCAAGGTCCTTATAATTAATTAAAGTTATTAAAGTTATCAAGCACCATAGTGTTGCTGTGGTAACCTCAGATATAAAAAAGGAAAGTCCAAAACTATGCATTTTTTGGAAGATGTTTCTTCAGTCAGTGGCAAAGGCAGAGTAGAAGAAAATATCCTAGTACTTGTAATAGGAGTCAAATGTATTCATATATTCACCAGACTTAAAATTCACCATCACATCTCTATCACGACAGATTTACGCAATTTTTGTTCTCACTGCTATTGCATCTATTGTATAAGAGCAGGTTATTAATCCCTCAGAGAAAAAGTGCTACTACAGTTATAAACTGTTACACTGCATCAGCTATCTTTTGGTTGATTTTTCCCTCTCATGCAGTTCAGTGACATAAAACGAGCTAACTATTGTTTTTCTACCATTGTCCTCATGATCTAGACTATCCCAAAACAATAAGCAAATTAGGCTGTCTTCTTTATAAGTTGATCAGGTAAAGGTAGTCTAATTTGCATAACTTTTTTAAAGGGCTTAAGAATGTTACAACAGTAATCAGGGGTTTCAATAAGTACCGACGACCGACGAAATGTGTCGGCTACTTTGCTCAGAGCAATCACCTACTTTTTTCTCTGAAAAAGAAGCAAGTTTTAAAAAATGTCAGAAACAAAAGATATTTAATTAAATCTAAATTAAAACGCAAGTTAATATTCAAGGTCCACTGATATGTCATGCTTTAGTTACACCAGAAGTGCTTCTGGTTACTTGCAATATTATGATAATAAATGTCTTGTCTTGTCTTGTTACACAAACGCTGTATTTCAGTCAATTTTTTTCCAAGTTTCTTTGTAGGTTTATGCAGAATTTGTTTATGTGCAAATGCACTTAACTTTGAATATCAACATTTGTTCATTGCTTGTAAGAATTGATTGTGTGGCTATGAAACCTGATTGAAAGCTATATTTTCTTGAAAGAAAAACAGGCTCTACTGTTCTCAATTTAGTCCCTGGAACACTGGAAATCTCATTTTAGGGCTTCAAAATTCCAAAATTTTCTGGGGAGCACGCCCCCAGATCCTCCTAGAAGAAGGGGACTAACAGCCCCTTGTTGATACAGTCGGTTACTCTATTCAAACCTGCTGGCTACTTCAATTATTATTGAAACCCCTGAGTAATAAAACCATGATAAAACAGGAAGTAATGATACTCTAAAACTTCTTTAAAGTCCATACACATAAAAAATTTATTGTTATCATGTGGCAAAATAAACCCCGTCATTTGTAAAAAATATGATCTGATTTTTATCAGGTGATTCTCATCAGGAGAAGTAGGAGGCTGAATGCTTAACTATCAACATGTGTTTATAGAAGGCAAGGGCAACGCTAGAAATTAAAATTTTTAGCTTTGTTGAGGTAGCACTTGTACTTCTATTGTGTTCCATTAAGGCAGCCTCTTTACATATGATTGTGTGTCTCCAGTATGCTTGAATTTGCACTTGCATTTGCTTTGCTCATATAAGCTTGGGAGCGGGGGGGGGGGGGGGGGGGAGGGGGGTTTTTTTTAGGAAAACGACACAAAAGTTTTTAATTTTGAGCGAAGGAGAGGGGGGTCTTTTTTTGGGGCGTGGGGGGGCGATGGGGGGGTGGTTAGATTTTTTTCTTTTTCTGTTACAATTTTTATTTTTTATTTTTTTTTGTTGGTGTGGTTTTTTGTTGTGTCTGTTCTTCGGTCGGTCGCCGACTGTTTTTTTTTTTGGGTCGTTCGGTTGTTGGTTGTTTTGTTGTGTGTTTTTTTTGGTTGTGGGGGGGGGGGGGGGGGGGGGGGGGGGGGGGGGGGGGGGCACATGGGTATATATGGCTAAACAGACCATACAATTTCAATTTTAGCGCCATGAAAAGGGTGACTTTCTCTTTGGCAGTGCATGGCGTACATGAGTGATGTTAACAACTTTTCCTTTCAATCTAAAAATTCTATGATGTCAACGTTTTTTCTACAATAAGCCTACTGAATTTTACAAAATCACATGACATACGTACCCATTGCAAGATGCCTTACAACCCTCTTCAAACTCTTCATGGCGCAAAACCTAATAAACAGGACACATTCGTTCAAAAATTAAACGACTGGAATTACTTTTGATACCCACCGTGTTTATAAGGTAAAGACAGCAAACAACTATGCAGCAAGGCGCGAGATTATAAGAGCCAACTGAGTCATCCATGGGCAAGCACGAAACGACGCGCCAAAATCACTGACACGATAACTGATACCTCTTACCTTCATCCCAAGTATTTCACGGTAAAATTTTATGGTTTCATTCCTATTTCCGATTTTAAAAACGAAATGTAATGCTCTCCTGAGCGGCATCTCTTCTGCTCTGCGTGTTCTGTTGTTATTAGTGTTATCAAAGAACAACCGAACAACCTCTTTCCCAGGACCTCACGGTTCAACAAGACCACTCGGTAAACGCGGGATGTCACGGACATGCGTAGCATGTTATTCAACCCTCCCGATACCCAGGGGCAGATAGTGGGGGCGAAGGAATGTGTATAAACGGGCGGGAAAAAATGTCCCGTTCTTTACTTTTCATCGCGCCATTTTTTCCCGCCCGTTTATACTTTCCCACGCCCCCACTATCTGCCCCTGGGTATCCGAGGACGTATTCGACAGGGCTGAATAACGTACTACGCATGTCGGTGACATCCTCGTTTACCGAGAAGTGAAGGACACACTACCAACTCACCTAGACAAGGCTGATCAATGATCAATTTAAGCACTAAAAGCTGCTCCGATATCTCAGATAACTAGAGAAATTGCTCAGAATGCAAAAAGTTGCTGGAAACGAAAAAAGTTGCTCCAAATACGAGAAGTTGCCAGAAAGTTGTCGAGCAACTTGTGGAAAGCCCTACCAGCAGCACATCCCTATTAGCCTCTTATAAGGAAGTACCCCCCCCCCGGCCCCCGCGGTCCTTGTGAACTAGAACAATGCGGGTCCCGTTTGTATTGCGATTTTACTATTCCGATATAACGGATAAAATCCTTTTTTTTTAATAGCTTTTAATCCATGCCTCGAGTTTAAAAATGGCCGTAAAGATGAGCATTGTTGTCGAACAGCTGCTGTATGTATTAAAATTGTTTCATGTTACCGCTGGCTGTATTCATTCTTTTCGGATCCGTAGTAAAGAAACGCTCAGGATCAGGGCTCCTGCTTCGGATTATGTATCCAAAGTATCCGGTTCTGTGCATGACCCAAAGAATCCAACTCAGTTGTAGAACATTTTGCATTTTAGTAAAGAAACGAAACATCCGGATTTGGATTTGAGTAAAGAAACGCACCCATATACGTGAAAGCTTGACATTGATCACGTGATCACCCCTATAAGCCAATCCAGAATCTTCCGAAAAATTCTTGACATTCAAAACAACAGTCGCGTAGTAAACACACGACATGGCTTCAAATTCTTCTTCTCAATCAAGCCAAGGAAAAGTCGGTAAGTTTCTACAGTTACCTCTGTTTTATACTACAACCATGTACCAAGGGTGTGTTGAATGAAATCAGGGACATAGCTACTAATGGGAAGACTGTTAGACATGGCAGATGCCTGACGTTGCAAATTAAATATTAAAATACTCCGTCCAAAAGACTCTCGCGGCCTTGCATGCATGTTTAGGCAAAAACTCCGAACAAAATATTAATAAACCAAAAAAACTTTCCTGAGAATTGTTAAATAGCTGCAAAATCAATGAGATTTATATCTTCCTGCAAATGTAAAACATTCCTTTACGGCCTCGCAATACCAAAATAATACTTTCCTACATTTTACAGGTCCATAAAAACAAGAAGCTTACAGATTGAATATTTTTCCGGGAAAAATGACGCGGCATATCAGTTCCCAAATAGCCCGTAAAAAATTTACCTTTTGCGAGAAATCAGGCGCGCGCGTTTCTAGCGTGCTGACAGTTTTTGGAAAGAACTTCCGCTTCTTTTGCATTATGTATTTCTAACGTAATCGAAGGCAATTCGAAAGTTGTTTCCATTGTATCGTTTCAATACTTCACGGGCGTTCTTTACAAAGCTAGTTGTATTCCAGATTCAACTCCTTTCTCGCCTAATCCTGTGTCAGCGACAATTTATTTTTTGTAGTCAGCCGTCTCCGTGGCCAGCTTGCTCACAAATAAATAGCGCATATGCAAAGAATTAACGCAACAAACAACAGCGCTCAAAATGAAATGAAAAGTGAAAAATATTACAACCATTATGTTTGCTCTCACGGTAGATATCTTATACCTCAAAGAGCTCAAAGGTGCCGCATTTCATTTTCATGACAGTTAGCAAGCTCTTCTGCAAGATTCAAGATTTATATTGGGAAATGTTCACTGTGACACAGTGAGGCTGAATGTCTGTTAAATCATTTATATAATTTAATGTAAAAGGACCTTAATGTAAAAACGTGAATTTGTAATTGATGACACGGAAATGAGTAGATTCACGCCAGTTTTATCCATAAGCCGTCGATTTTTTTGAGCTGTTTTATCTGCTCATTTTCTATTTTGAGAATTTTTAAATTTAAATCTGACATTTGCGGTAAACGTGACAAAATCTCCCTTTTTTATTTATCATCTATTATTTTAGAATGACCAGTTGGGAGTTGTTACACACAGTATCTGCCGGTTTGGGTGATTCGCACGCGCGCAACACGCGCGCTCAAATATAAACTCGTTCACTAGCTTCTCTCCTTTCCAAAAGATCGAATTCGTTACTGAGTACCGTGGAGCCTCTATTCAGGGGACACCCTCGGGACCAAGTTAAGTGTCCCTTGAATAGACGTTGGGCTGGGTTTTTTAAATAATTAACCGACAAAGACAATATAATAAAATCATCATTAACTTATCGCTGCGACATGATATGCTGAATTCATACTGCAAGTGCAGTACATCGAAATAAGTGAGATAATTCATCATTGTGTTTTGAGCGCTACGGTGTCCCCTGAATGGAGGTCAAAGCCAGGTTTCAAAACGTGTCCCATTCCAGGAGGGTCCCTTCAATAGAAGTAACAGATACAAAGATCATGTGGACGTTTTTTGTGTCCCCGAAATGGAGGTGATCTTTGAATAGGGGTGTCCCAAAGCCGAGAGAGGTTTCACTGAAATAAAGTGATTTATCAAGATGTCTTTGCTCACTAGGTTTCGTAACAAGTATCGGAACTTGTCAAAGTTGCTGTAAAGAGCTCACAACGTATCACAAGCATTGGAGTTGTGAAGACGATCACAAAACCTGCAATGACTGTTACATGGACCTGCTCTTTGAGGCACTACATGATGGTGGCAACCAAAAGGAAGTACAGTGTATATGTGAGGCCACACTTCTGCCGATCAAGCCAAAGGTACCTGACCATGGAGAGCACGTCTTTATTTACGTTGATGATTCCAATATGTGGATAGAAGCGAAGAAACTTGCGGCTAAGCAAGGACACTTCAAATGTGTAGAAGACCCGAGGTTGCGCATGGACATGGGAAAAGTTGCTGAATTTGTGGCCAAAGGCAGAGAAATTGCCTGCGATAACCTGTATGGATCAGAACCACCACCAATAGACACTGTGTGGGAGACAATGAAACGATATGGTTGGGAAGTTAAAGTATCAAAGAGAAGCCTTTTTACCAACAAAGAAAAACAGGTTGACCACAGAATAGTGAAGGATATAACCGCTTTGGTTTCCGATAGGAGCGTCGCCAAAGGAACAATAATCCTCGTCAGTGGAGATGCTGATCTCATACCAGCAATAGAAGAAGGTCTGAGTAAGAAATGGTCCTTTGAAATATGGATGTGGAACAGTGGCATATCAAAGGCACTTAAAAAGCTAGAGGAAGACCATCAAGAATTGATGTTAATTAGCTCGTTAGATCCCCACCTAGAAGATATCTCATTTACTAATTTTGAATTAAGTGAAAAACAATTATCCTCAGAGCAGAACAATCGAACTGCAGTTATATTGAATTTCCTTGAAACTGACGCCTGGCAAAAAGACCTAACCGCAAAGTTACGCTGGCCTTTCCAGTTCTGTTGTATAGGAACAGACGTTGTTCTTGTTTTTTCGCTTGTGAAGCCCAAAGACGACAAGAAATTTTCATCTCATTTTGACGAAATATTTGAACAGCTGCAAAAAGAGTATCCAGAAAGAGTAGTACTTTTTCCAGCCTATCGCAAAGAAGTTCCTAAAAAGGAAAAAATATCCTTCACCAACACGTATGAGACGTTAGAAAATGCAACTGATCAACTAAGCTTGAGCAGCTATGATGACCGTTCTGGAAGAAGTGAAAGTCAGGCAGAACAAGGCCACCTCAATCAAGAAAATGACTTTAACCACAATATCCCTGACAATGAATTTCAAGTTGTCCGAAGGAAACAACGCAAGAAAACCCAAAAGTTTTCCGAACGTTGTGAATATAGCTCCAATTGCAAGAGTGGCTTGAATTGCACACACTGGCACACTAAGGCGGAAAAGATTTACTTCAAAAACCCTTTGAAGCACAAAGAATGTAAGTACAAAACCAGCTGCTGGAGTGGACCGACCAACTGCAAGTTTGCACACTCTGATAAAGACAGTTTCTGTCGTCTATGCCATAATTGGGGACACTTGCGGGAGAAGTGTACAAAGCAGCCCCTTGTACAGTCACCATCCACTACAACTGAAATGAATTGACCTGCCTGTGTTTAGCGATTGGCAATTCGGAATAAGAGAAACCAAGAACGTTATTTCACCATGGCAATAACTATCTGATTGATCCTTTCACTGCCAAAGGCAGCCAGAAATAAACTTTTATGAAAAATATTATCCTGAATTTGACGGCACCAAATACCCCAAGAGCAAGGCCTCAAGCGTGAAGACGGGACGTTTGTCCACGTGGCCCGCCCCTCACACGTGAGACGCAACCACTCACATGCTTGCAAGTAAAAGTGTTGCATGACCGTGGTGCGTTTATCTACGGCGGCTGCAAGAAAAATCTGTTTGTTTCTTTCTATGTTTGTTTTAATGAAGGGTTTCTGGGGTTTACCGGAATAGCACGCAGAAAAACGGATAGTCCCAAAATATATTTAACCGATCTGACATTTCAAATACGTGTTCAGAGCAAGTGTTGGCTGCATATTTTTCCAAAAATCTGTCCCGTCTTTCAAACTTGAGCTAATTTACGCTCAATCTAAGGGGTAGGAGTATGGTAACATTTACAGGTTGGCAGAGTTGTGCATCACGCTAACTGAATAGACCTATTCGGCTAACTCAGTGTTGTACCCAATTCAAACCCTTTGGGAATAAAACGTTTTGTTTTAGGAATTTCCATATCATTTAAATGTGAATGCCACTTAAAATAACTAAGATAGTACGCGCGCTCTGATTGGCCGAGAGCAGTGTTTGCATGAGAGTATGTAAACATGGTTGTGGCGTCAAGTTGTTTGGCTTTTCGCGCGCTAACTGACGCAAGCACAAAATTTGAAAAAGTTTTCGAGTTCAAAACTCGACAAGTTTACTTTATTTACCCATTCCTTCGTCGGCTGAAACATGGAAAATCGTTACAAAGAAGGTGAGTCAATTTTTCTTCGCTTAAGCTGACATTTTAAGCGAGAAAACTCCGTATTTTGCAAAGCATCTTTTTGCAAAACAAGAACTCATTACGCGTGCAAGACTTCGTGGACAAGATTTTGCGACTGGTGAGAATTTCTCTTTTAATCAGTGCCATACAAAGAGTTTTGCGTTTTTTTCTAGGGAAAGTTATTTTATAAAAGCAATAGAAAACTTTTTTCCTGTTTTTACATAGCCTGATATAAACACTCGAGGCGTAGGGAGAATTCTCGACGGTTATGCAAACCCTCGACTTCGTCTCGGGTTTGCATAACTGTCTCGAATTCTCCCAACCCCTCTCGTGTTTATATCAGGCTATGCAAACACGGAAAACGTTTTCTATTGCTTAATTATAAAATTATAATGCAAATACAATACACAAGAGAATCTTATCCCCGGGAGATTTGAATTGGGTACAACATTGAGTTAGCCGAATAGGTCTATTAGCCATCTCGCATCATGCAAATATGTGGTGCAATAATATTGCAGTAAGTTAACATGGCAATATATCAGCCCTTGAATGAATCAGCTCTAAACTGCTTTTAGGGTTCCTTCTTTCGGTAAAAAAGAAAATGATGTCATAAATATCTGTTTTTAATGTCTGTGCCTTTAGTTTTAAATAATATTCACCAATTACTGAAATCTATAAGGAAATTCACCTGTCACGCGTTGTAAATATAGAAAATCACGCGCCATCCAGCTAAAAGGGCAGCTATACGCGGCTAATTTGTGCCCGATCACGCATCCCGCTGATAATTTTGTTATAAATAATCATCTTCAATCTAAGTCAGTACAATAAGTACAATAAAAAGCATGACGACTGTGTTGACTTTGAATTTGATTCAGATTTAAATCAATCAAGTAATAATTTAACCACCTGTTTACAACGAAGACATGAAAACCACATAAGATTCCATCTGATAAGAGGGCCCTACAAGGTAAACTAGTTCAAAAGCGAACTAGTGATTTTTAAACATAACCAATACCTATTACCACCCTTCTGGGGAGGGGGTGAGGGGAGGTTATTTCTTTTAGGATTAATAGATTTTCGACCCTACAAGTATTATCCTTAAGAAAGTTTGTATATGAACAGTGACTAGCAGACATGTTGTTTCGTCCTTTGCTACTTCTGACTTTTTAATGCCCCTTAATGCACCATTTATCTAAAAAGCAACACCTTTTGCAGATGAATTCAGGTTTTGAAGAGTACTTTGCAAATGTGGGATCATTGTGCTCGTACTGCACAGCTCTAGTGCATACGTTTAGCAATTCCAAATATCTTGTTTTAAATTTTTCCGTTAAGGGGCAACTTCTCCCCCAGGAAATGTTTAGTAGGGGCTCTTCTTAGCCTGTCTACAGACCCCCCCCTGCTCCGATTTTTACTGAGGGAAGGGGGGGGGAGGGGGTCTGTACACAGGCTAGACTCTTCTAAGAAGTTAATCCTTTTCTCAAACTAGCCCAGTTTCCCTCTGTGTGTACCGTATACAAAAGCTGAGCAAATGCCTCTGAACAGATTTGAGACAACAGCATAACTCTGAGTTAAGCGATACAACAGCAGCAGCAACAAGCATAGTAACAGCAATTAGCAGGAATGTTAGCCGAGTGTTTTGCTTTAAGTACCATATACGATACACCCTTCAATAGAGTGGTGAAAACCTTATGACACGCGCCAGCTCTTGAGATGTACTCAGATGCTAGGAAATGAAGCCTTCTACCGTCGAACATAACCGAGTGTCCGGGAAACACACAGTCGACATGACTGGAAAGATCTTGTAGTCTTCTGCAGGACTGAACGTAGGCATTTATATTGCTTTGTGGCAACCAGTCAATCAAAGCGTCACTCTCGTACATCACGTCTCCGGTGAACAGAATCCTGGCGCGTTCATCGATTAAACCAATACTCCCTGGGGTATGACCGGGCAGATGAACAACCCGCAAGCTCCGGTCGCCAAGATCAAAGACATGACCTTCCTCTACGACGGTATACGGTTCCGCCGCCTTGACCCTATATTCCGATATTTTCCACCCCTGGTATGGGGGTACAGCAATTTCGGACGCGCTAAAGAAAAGCGTCGAGGTGACGAAGTTATCGCCTTGGCGAATTGCTTCCGCTTCTAGGCTGTGGATGGAGAACTTTTCGAACTGATGCAAATCTCCGGAGTGATCGAAATGAATATGAGTCGCGACCGCTTGTACAGGTTTCGGGCCGATCAGGCCTTGTTGCTCGAGAAAGCCTGGCAAGTTCCATATCCCCAAGCCAGTGTCGATAACCAAATCTTTGGATGATCCTTGAACAAGCCAGATGTTGGCTTGGTTTGGGGAATCATAGAATCTCTCATGTAACAAGTACACACCGTCGTGAACCTTTTCAATGGCAAACGGTTGTTCGGCCATTTTGGTTTTTATCAGCATACAAATGAGAGGAACCTGGGTACAAGGTAGACTGCAGTCGGGCAAATTTGGGAATCGGACAGGGAATCGGACAGGGAATCGAGTCAGGAAAAAGTGAAGGAACCTAAGTATTTAAATTTCGTTCCATATATTTGTTTATTGCAAACAAACACGCCAAGAAAATGTCACGCCCAATTTTTTTTTGTTTTATACAGTATCAACACCGCCCCACAACATGTCTGCTACAATGAAAACTGCATTTACACCTAAAATCGCGCAGACACCCTGTATTAATGCAGATATGAAACAGTCAAGTATTTAAAACTTTAAATGTTCTTAAAAATTTCCACAAAAGGACACTTTAGAAAGTACTCACCATCACTGTGTTGTTACTGTATACCATCTTTTTCATATTCTAAAGTAAAATCAGTGTTAATGGTACAAGAATCAACAATGACCGAAGAACGCCATTTCCGAGTAGCCTCCCACGCAGTCGTTCTTGGGCTTAGTCACGCGATCCTTTCCCACGAATTGCCTTCGAACCTTATTTCTGAGTTGCCCCTAGCCTGCGAACAGCAGACGTATTTCCGGTAGTCGCTTCTCTCCCTCCGAAAAATAGAGGGAGAGAAGCGACGACCGGAAATACGTCTGCTGTTCGCAGGCTAAGTTGCCCCAGGCCAGTTTGAAACTCAAGGTGAGGGTAGGTGCGAACCTATTGATACGAGTCACATGCAGACAAAACTCATTTTTACAGAAAAGGTGTTGCACTTAACTTCGCTAGGAACGTGAGAGATTTTGGAACTCGGAAATGGCCTAAGGGGACAGGGGGATTCCCCTCAACTACCTCCGGCTTACTGCCATGTGTGGTTCACCTATTACAGAATGCTCATACATCGTGGTTCTTGGTGTACTTGGTGAAACCGTTTCGGGGTACTTCATCCTTCGACTCTGAATCCAACCTGGGATTTAAACCCAGACCACGTGCGTAACAAAGTCACGGCAGACGTGTGCATTGTTGGATTTCACCTAAAGGATGATCCCCTTATTCACAGCACTATTAACCAAGAAAAACGGGATTCACCAAGGAGTTGAGGGTGAAACCATAAAATAGGGCCAAATCCAAACGTCTTAAGTGTAGCCACAAGAGGAAGAACATATATGCGCGAAATTACCATCCCTTATTACCATAAGGAAGATTTTAAAAAAACCCTTGGAGCCCACTTATCGAAAAACGAGGAATTTGGTATACAACAATAAAAATTATGTAAGCGGAAGATCGTTTCATGAATGTTATGTTTCTTTTCTATACCCGATTTTAAAAGCCCGTGCAAACCACCTGACTGAATCCCAGATATACCTACATTTACTTTTACTACAGATAAGGCAAATGCAAGATCCCTTTACAGCGTGATGCATTTTCACTTAAAACCCTATAACTACTGCAAACCGGCTATTGAAAAACCCAGATGCACTAGCCCTGGTTTCATGCGCGTTTTCCGGTTCCGGTTGAGATTCTTAAGTGACCTGCGTTTTCTCTCACGGCTGAGGATGTGTCGGCCGACGAAGCTCCTCGTCGCACATGAGAAACCCAGGGTAGGTGTTTCTTGACGACGCCGGTACACAAACATCTTCCTTAACTGGAAATGGGGGAATCCCAAAATCCTTAAAACCTCTGATGGCCGCTTTGGTAGTTTTCGTTCCACATGGAACGATGCGTATTTTCCTTCCTGGACCCGTTTATTTTTCAGTTTAACCTATCAAGTTGGTTATCACATTCCACCGATACTCATTTTGAAATTATGACCAATCCTGACGGAGTATTACAGACAACACCACTGAAGTATCATTTTGGGAAGAATCCAATGCCAATTTCGCCATTTTCCTACCACTCTTTGCATATTTAACTGTTCCTTTAATCCTCAATTCCATGCGAAACAAAGAAGATTAAGCGGGCAGCAAAACTGGCAATAAAGGAGACAGGAAAAGGGAGAAAAAAGAGAGCGAGCAAGATCGAAATTGATGCCTAACGAATTTCATCCAGCTAGCCAGAAAATATTTCTCTAGGTGTTGCAAAACTGATTTCTAGCCATTCCCACGCAAACTAATGAAATACAGTCAGACCTCTTTAATACGGACACCAACGAGACAGAACCAATTGTCCGCTTTACAGAGGTGTCCGTATTATAGAGGTAGCTGAGGAAAGTATGATTTTTGGCATTTCTGGGACCAAACGAACTGTCCGTTATAGAGGTGTCCGTAAGGAGAGTTTAGACTGTACGCGGTTTTTTCGCTAATACGATTTACATTTTCTCGTTTCTTTCAATTTGGAACTGAGAATGAACTCTTTTAGTTTTCTTTACCCCCATCCCATACTCCTCACAAAAAAGCGACGTAAAACCCTCCGAGACCCTGGTTCGTTGAATGTCTTCCTGTACTCTTCTCCTACTTTTTTAAAACCTTTTTTTATGTCTCTCTCTCTCGCCCGAAAGCGGTACATTTCTCAGACTTAACCACGTATATAAAAGGGTAGAAATTCCACTAGTTTTAGTATATGATATGGTAGGGAAATTAGTCATTTCGGCCTGTAAAATACAAAAGAGCTAACAGTTTCATTTGCATGCTGTGAAAAAGTGGAGAAAACGCTCTGTTTTTTATTTATTCATATTTGAAATACAGTAGATTTACAGCAGTTAAAAGTAAGCAAAGGCATATGAAAGGGGTACCATTTATCAATGGACGGTATACAAAAGGGGTACTCTTTCTGTCAAAAATGGTAAGGGGCTGACCTCAATGTATAAAACTTTGCTAAGTACCCCTCCCCAAACCCCGGTACAGTATCAACATCATGTGCCAGGAATTACCTCAAGACGAGGAACTTGGTTGACGTATTCATGAGATACAAAAACTACCACATAAATGAAATCCGATGTTTCGAGCCCTTTTTGCTGTGAAATCTTCTTTAAAAAAAACTTTAGAATTGGTAAACAGTTCCTCTGCAAGTTATTTTACAGATTCTTGCTAATTTCTGGCTATTCGTCAAAACACTTCGTTCACCCTTGTTAACATGCCCTTTCTTACCGGGCTTTTATTATCGTATATAAACGGCGTCGTATCTCCAGTACACCAATTCACATTTTTATAGTGACAAAGGCTACGAGCTATTTACCTGGTTGCAACACGCTTCATAACAATGGCCAGTTAAAACTCAGGGACGGAGGAGCCGACGTAGCATCGGACGCAGACGTCCTTTAGGCTCCTCAAGCAATCCTACAGTGGGGCAGAAACGCGTGACGCACCCCCAGGAACGTCCGCGTGGGAACCTAGAAACGAGGCTGCTGGTGGGCCCCCCCACCCAACCCTGCTTGTTACTAGAACGGCACTTTAATTCTAGCAATCAAAGGAAGCATTGTTTACAGTGGGAGTGAAAGGATGACCTCCTCCTAACAAACTTTGAAAAATGTTGTACCTTCCCTGGAAAATCCAGGTGAGAATATTCTTTCAGGGTTTGTTTAAGTCTTGAAGCAACGACTCCAACTCAAACTTGATGCGCGAAATAGAACGTAAATCAATATGTGGTATTATGTTCAACCTGTTATTTATACGCACATTCCAATTCATGGATGGAAGAGTTTAGACCGGGGGAGGGGGGTACTTTTATATGGGGAGACTCCGCTCCAAAGTTCAACCCCTTACCCTTTCATATACCATTTGGCAGAAAAGGTACCCCTCTCGTATACCTTTTATTGACAGATGGTACCCCTTTCACATACCCAGTTTACGACTTTCCATCCCTTTTAAACTGCTCCAAAGGCACTGTCTTTAAAATCTGAATAAATCACAAAAACAGAACCTTTTCGCGACTTTTTCACAGCCATGAAATGCATCTCTTCGCCCTGTCGGGCCTTTACCGACCAAAATGACAGATTTCCACACCCTTTTATATACTTCAACAAGTAAAATTCATACCCTTTTATATACCTAAAGCCTGAAAAAGGTACTCGTTTCGGGCGGAGCCTTCCGGTATAAGCCATTACTGGGAGTACCCCCCACGGGTGTTCGACCCCCATCCCCAGCACTTACAGGAAAACTATACCCATACGTTAAACCAATCTTGCAACTTACAATCATCCATGCTGATTAGGTCAGACACCAAAACTTACCACAATTTTCAGAAGAATACGCCATGGCCTCCGTGCGACACGGTAAATGATCTTCACACAATGGCTCAGGCTTTAAGAAAGGCTTCAAAAACCTAGGGCAGCGGACAGATGAATTCCAAAATCAGGAGCTTCATCTTTTAACATCAACTGAATGCTTCAGTTTGACCTATACTTACCAAAGTTTTTCGGATTTTTTATAGACAAAGAGCTTTAAAAAGGGGTCTGTTGCAACAGCAAGTCTGTAAATTTGACAGATCTCATTTCTTTCTACTCTTTCAACCTTCTTATTTGACCTTTGACCCAAGTGGTACGACTAAACTTTGACTTAATCAAAATTGCTTTCCGCCCGTAAGTTGACATTTCGATATGGCAAACTCTGCAAACTAACGATAATTTACAGTAAGAATAAAAACAGGAAAGTTTTGTGTCCACCGAAGCAAAAGAAAAGAACTTAGATATAGCCTCCTACGCAGACGTTCTTAGGGGTTCGTCACACGCACCTCTAAGAACGTCTGCGTGGGAGGCTAGCTTAGATAGGAAGGCTATTTGTTACAAGCCTTGCAATGCTCCATGTTAAGCCAAAGTGCAAAACACCAAGAGGGTGGCGAGTTTTCAAATTTAAGACCAAGTGCGAAGTATTCTTAATTCAACATACACAGCATATAGTTAGTCACCCTAGAGTGTTGCAGTGGGATGAAAATACTTATCACGTGACTTTTTGCAGCGCAAACTGCAGCCCGAGGCCAGTCTAGACCCTTACTGTTGAACTAATTCACTTGGAGGTCAAAGCACCAATACTTATTTTGTAATACGAAAAAAGCCCCTTGGTTAGAGTCTAGCTGG